GGATAAGTGGAGACTCAAATCCACTGGTCCTAGCCACAGTGGTATCTAACTTGTTGAACTTGTCTAGTATCTTATCGATGTAATGAGATTGAGATAACACAAGTCCATTTGGTGTTCGAGTAATTTTTACTCCCAAAATGACATCCACAAGACTCATATCTTTCATGTCAAACTTCGAGTTTAACATATTCTTAGTGGCTTTGATAATCTTGTCAGAGCTACTGACAATGAGCATGTCGTCGACATATAGACCTAGTATGACATATCCATCATTAGTATCCTTAACATATACACACTTGTCGCACTCGTTGATTCTAAAATCACTAGAAAGCATACCATTATCAAACTTTTCATGCCATTACTTCGGTGCTTGCTTCAAACCATACAGCGATTTAACCAGTCTACAAACTTTCCTTTCTTGACCTAGAGCTGTAAACCCTTCTAGTGGCTCCATGTAGATTTCTTCATTCAAATCTCTATTCAGGAAAGTTGTTTTTACATCCATCTGATGTATTTCCAAATTTCGCAAGGCCGCAATAGCAATTATCATCCGGATAGAAGTTATTATCGACACAAGAGAATAAGAATAAGTATCAAAGTAATCTAAGCCTTCCTTTTGCTTATAACCTTTGATTACCAGCCGAGCTTTATATTTATCAATGGAGCCGTCCACTTTCATATTCTTCTTGAAGATCCACTTGTAGCCCAAAGACTTACAGCCCGGTGGAAGATCTACTAACTCCCAGGTATGATTCTATAGAATGGAATCGAATTCACTGTTGATGGCTTCTTTCCACAAACGACCATCTGGAGAAGATATAGCTTCTTTATAGCTTTGAGGATCATTCTCCATCAAATATGTGAGAAAATCAGGGCCAAACGTCTTAGAAGTTTTTGTCCTTTTGCTCTGTCTAGGCTCATCCTCACCTTCTTCAACTGGATCTTTACAGCTGCCAGAAGCAGAAGATTCCATTGTTCGTTTAATAGGAGTTAATTGTTTAGGAGACTTACAAGGAAATATATTCTCAAAGAATTGTGCATTCCTAGACTCCATAATCGTGTTCGGATGAATATCAGGTACATTCGGATAATGCACAAGGAACCTATATGTACTACTATTTTGTGCATAACCAATGAACACACAATAAACTGTCTTAGGTCCAATCTTAACCTTCTTAGGAGGAGGCACCACAACTTTAGCAAGACACCTCCACATTCGTAAGTATTTATATGAAGGTGTTCGATTTGTCCAAAGTTCATACGGGGTCTTATCCATATTCTTTCTTAACACTTTATTCAAGATGTAATTTGCAGAAAAAATAGCTTCTCCCCATATGTTCTGTGGTAATCCAGAACTAATCAACACATCATTTATCATTTTCTTTAAAGTTCTATTCTTACGCTCAACAATTCCGTTCTACTGAGGTGAATAAGGTGCAGTAGTTTGGTAAATTATTCCATGTTTAGCACAAAATTCACCAAACGGTGATTCATATTCACTCCACGATCACTCCGTAGCACTTTTATTTTCTTACTAAGTTGATTTTCAATTTCATTATTATAAAGAATGAATTTATTGATAGCTTCGTCTTTGCTTTTAAGCAAGTACACATAACAATATCTCGTACTATTGTCGATAAAAGTAATAAAATACTTATTACTGCCTCGTGTTTGGACAGATTTCAAGTCACATACATCACTGTGGACTAGTCCTAATGGCTCGATACTTCTTTCAATACTATGAAACGAAGACCTAGTAAGCTTAGATTTAACGCATGTTTCACATTTATGATTTGAATCAATTTGAAACCTAGGCAAGTAATTTAGTTTGCTTAGTCTACGTAAAGCATTGTAATTTACGTGACCTAATCTACCATGCCACAAATTAGGAGACTCAAGCAAGTAAACAGAAGGAATTTTCTCATTACTCATAACAGTTGGGGTTACAACAATTACATTCAATTTAAATAGGCCATCAGTCATATAGCCTTTCCCAACATAAACTCCTATTTTGGTAATCACTAGCTTATCCGCCTCAAAGACCATGCAGAACCCATTCTTGCTCAGAAGAGACCCAGAGACCAGATTCTTGCAAATCTCTGGCACGTACAGCACATTAATCAGAGTAAGCTCTTTGCCAGATGTCATCTTTAGGATCACCTTGCCTTTACCAAGCACTTCAAAAGTTGCAGAGTTTTCCATGAACAACTTTTCACCATTTGTAACTGGTGCAAAAGTAGTGAACATGCTCCTGTTGGAGCAGACATGGCAAGTGGCCCCAGTGTCCAGCCACCACTCCTTTGGGTTAGACCCTACTAGGTTAACCTCACTAATCACCGCCGTGAGGTTTAGCTCAGACATTTCATCTGAGAGATGATCTCTCTCATTTCCAACCATATTAGCCTAAGGATGCTACTTATTATCCCTCCGAGGCTGACGGCAGTCTGCTAATCGATGCCCAACTTTGTCACAATTGAAACACTTTCCTTTGAACTGGAACTTAGGTTGCTTTCCTACCCCACGTGCAGGCTTTAACTGAGACCCTTTCGTAGCCTGTTTTTTATCTTTTCGATTTTCGTTACCCTGTTTGGCTTTAAAGGAGTGAACTTTCTTAGTACCAGAACTTTGGCCATACTCCAAAACATTAGCCTTCTCAGAGTAAGAATTCTCTGACTTACATTCAGCCCGTTTGTTATCCTCCTCAATGTGCAGCTTGATAATTAAATCCTCGAAAGACATCTTTTTCCTCTTATGCTGTAAATAGCTTTTGAAAGTCTTCCACTGAGGAGGTAGCTTGTGAATAGCAGTAGCCACCTGTAGAGATTCTGACATGGTCAGATCCTCAGCATGCATTTCTTGCAAAAGCACTTAATACTCCTGTACTTGGCTCACCACTGAACGTGAATCAACCATTTCGAAGTCCATACACTAACTGGCTAAGAATTTCTTAGATCTGACATCCTCGGTCTTGTATTTCTTTTCTAAGGACTTCCACAGCTCCTTAGCAGACTTCTTTACCACATATACATGATACAGAGAATTCTGTAGCCCATCTAAGACATAGTTGCGGCACAAAAAATTAGCATTTTTCCAAGCGTCCCAAGCTGCATGCCTATGCACATCAGTGTCGTTTTCAGCTACGATAGGGGCATCCTCAGTGAGAAAACGTGCAAGGCCCAACGTAGTGAGATAGAAAACCATCTTATTTTATCATGTCTTAAAATCAGTACCAGCAAACTTATCCGGTCGAATTGCATTATTCACCGAAAATGGAGCCGGAAACGATGGCAAAGGTGCCGAAACTGCAGCCCTAGGCACTGGCAAAGGTATTGTGCCAAATTGGATTGTCGAGGCTGCAGCCGAAGGCAAAGTTGGATTCACTCCAACATGAGGAATCCTGCCTCCAATTATCCCGTTAATGGGAAGAAATGTCAGTCGTGGTCTCCATAGGGTTAATAACGGTCATTGCAGGATTTGGTACACCACTACCAACAGTGTTGCTTCCGTTGTTCACATCGTTATTTCCATGTGATGTCATTGAATCGGAACAAACAACATATAATTTAGAATAATTATAAGTTTGTAAAGTTGTATATAAATTCGAGATCAAGTTATCTGTTCAGAAAATAAAACTGCAGAGTTGAAGAACAGATTATTTTGTCAAATTATTAACAACTTAACAATCATTTAAAATGAATTAAAAATCATGCAAAAACCATGAACTGGAAAAATTGACAAAAACTAATGAACAATTCGATTTACTAAAGCCAATTCAATTTAAGCTTGTAGGTAAATATTAGAGAATCAAATCAAACCGAAGGCCTGTATATTCACAGATTCCTTAAATCGAATTCGCCGCCTCACCGGAGTGCAAGAGGTTTTGATCGGTGTTCGATTCCCAGATACAATCGGTTGTCGATTCACACTGCACTACGTTAACCGCTTGCGAACTAGCTATGATATACTCTATCTGACAAAGAAATTATAAGCACAAGGAAGAACTTGAAAGTGAGAAAAAGAAGATTGTTGCTTAGAGGAAGAAGCTTGCATTTCACTTATAATTTTCCAACCTAAAGAGACTCCTATTTATACCAATGGAGGAAAAACTAGCTCATTAATCAAGGAGTTAAACCATTCATTGATAAATGAGTTAAAAACATTAAGGGACTTGAGTTACTTGAGTTACAACATATGAAGAGACCTCTATTTAATATTTTTCATTACTTCTATTCAATATTTTTCATTTAATTCTAACAATAGTAAGACACATATATTCATGCTTTCGATGTTTTAGGGTTCATTTGACAGGACATTTGTTTTTGCTTCTACTTCTATTTCTACTTCTTATAAAAGAATTTTACGAAAAAGTTACATTAAGTCAATTTTTTTTTTTTTAAAGTTCTTTTAATTGAACAGATCACTTCTGGAAAATTATTCAAAGAAATTCAAAAATAGCTTTTTGATCTTAGAAGTAATCTTTAACTTTTCAAAAATCTTGTCAAACAAACATATACTATTGTGATAATTTATAGTCCAACATTTGTTTTATTAAAGAAAATTCAAAGCATTGGAATATAGAACATGGGACAAGTCAATAGTCGCAATGTTCTTGGCAAGTGTTTGAAACCAGTACTCATGATGACCAGTACAAATTTGACTGATTATTATGGTAGACATCTTATGTTGTGACTTGTTAGGAAATCTATTTCTGTAAAATTGTAATGAATTAATTGATTTATTTAATTTAGTTTTTTCTTAACATATTATCTCACAGATTTGCAACACATTAAAGGACCAGATATTCATAATATGAACATGACCGAAATGAAGATATATCATATATAAATGTGTAGTGGTATTAGAAACTTAGAAAATAAAAATTGATTTATGCTCAAATATGTGGAGGTGATAACAAATAATGATAAATTTAGGAAATTGTACTTAATTGATTATGGCATATCTCGTTGGTTCCATGTTCAACTTAATCATCGCGAGTCATATCATGATTCCACCTCAAATCTCTGATTCTCTGATCTCATAATCCGTTGCAACTCATCGAAACCGACCCTGGAGCATGTAAACACCAACCTGTTCATTATCATTTCATCATGCGCCACTACATTCTGTATACTCCACCATCTATAGTCGTTGTTGGCTATCAACTCACATACCACTACTTCCTCCGTCTCAGATTGATTGTAAATGTAAACAAAATTCCCAGTTACGTGGACATTTATTGAAGAAATTCCAATACTCTCGCTCTTCAATTTATCAACATATACTAAAGGCATTTCAACAATTTCTTCACATTGAAAATTTTCCTTATCAACCTTCCAAATCTTCACTTGTTCAACATTTTCACCGTTTTTGCACAAACCCACCAAAATCAAATCGTCATTAGAAGTCCCAATGTTGTGGTCGGAAATGTGTTGATTGGGATTTAATTTATTGGGTCTGGACCAACATTTTGTGTTAGGGTCGAACCAATAGGTCAAACCCGACTGTTTCTCTGTGATGAAGAGCTTTTCATTGGTGGTAGCAATTGAAAGCCAAGTGGAAGCTGCCGAGTCTTTCAAATTTCCTGGCATGGTGTCGCACGTGTCCCATGCATGTGTCACAGTGTTGTAGATCTCGACAGGCAATGGATCGTCCTCGTAATCACTTCCGCCACCTACAACAACGATAGAGTCTCCAACTTTTGCCACAATTGGGTCTGTCCGCCAGATGAGTGGAGGGTCCACATGACTCCACGAGATATTTAGAGGGTCGAACGAGAATGACAATTTCGTAGATGAAAGCATGTAAAGGAAATTCGAATTGGATGATTTAAGGGCTAAGTTGTATTTAATTGACGGTTGCGATATTTTGATCCACATGTGTGAGCGTGGATCGTAAGCGTATCTCGATGTGGTGTATGGGTAACGGGTGGCTTGCTTATGGAGAATTAGCCACGGTTTCGGTTTGTTAAAGTGGCTGAGGGAGCTTGTCACCGCGTAGCCCCATGACTTAGACACGTGTGAGGCAGGCACTAAGTCGATAAGTGGCACGTGAGAGAATATAACTTCTAATATATCTCCATGGATTTCCCCTCCGTTTTCTCCCATCACTTGATCTTCTCTTGTCATTTTGGAGAGTGTTTCATGGATTTGGTTTCATTTGCAAGCATTTTGCTCTATATATAGTGGACTGATAACGGCGTCGTAAAATGTAAACTGACGGTGATGATTTGTTGGGCAATAAATCAATTTGATAACGTCGCATTAATTTATATTTTTTTAATCTTAATTTAAACCCAAAAAAGACTTTGTATTGAATATTGAGTATTGACTATGAAAATGGAATAGGTCCAAGAAAAATAGATGCATTTCATAATTCGGACCGTAAGTATTATGCATCGATTCGAACTAGTTAAGATAAATAGTCGAGATTAAAAATTCTATTGAGGTTTTTCCTTAACAATTTTTTTTTTTAAGAAAAAATTATTCAATATAATTAGATATCATGGCTTTTTATCAAGGTTAATATACTATATTTTTTCTTCGGTGTGATGTGAATTTCGTATTTAAATTTGAAACAAATGAAAATTAAGGTGGTAGGTGAGAATGAGAAGAAGTTGGAGAGGTGATAGTTGGTCTAACTAAAACTAAAAGAAAGAAAAATATGGTACACTCCGACGACGTTTTGGACCAATCTGAAATGGAAATAATGATGTTTTGACAAAAAATGCACGTTACGATAGTAGAGAAAGACATGAATTTTAATAGGTAGATGGATAGATTAGAGACCTTAAAGCACAAACTTTTTAAAATTGAAAGGTCAACAATTTAGATTCAACAAACATAGAATGAATACGCTTTTGTTTGAGATATTGTCTTAATTTTCCGTATTCCGCCCCCATTTGGTAGCAATTTTTCATAAAAAAAAAAAAAAAATCAATTTTTTTATTGTTATTTCACTATTCCAAATGTCATTTTTCACATATTCACTCATATGTAGGACCCNTAAATTAAGTTTATTTCAGTCAAATATAGCTAACTGTCCACTTTATGGAGGTTGGATTCTTCAACAATATGGAGTAAGAGATAAGTTGTTCTGATATCATTAATTTGGCTCCAACTTGTTTTCAGCCATGTTAACATCAAACATTGCCAAAAAAGAATGTTACTGAACCTTCGATATTAACAGGCAAGCGAATACACGTCTAAGACGGGATTGAAATTGAAATTGTTTACATGGCATACATATGATAATATCAAATAACTAACTGTCATGTATATACTACGGAGGACGACTATGGATATTCTTCACTACGAATAGCACTACTCTTATTGTAGCAAGTTTTTAGAATGATTTTTACCGGCTCTAATAGTCAGCTTGGCAAGCTTTTGAAGTCAAAAGTTGTTTTTAAGATTAAGAAGTTATTTTTGAATATATGTGAATAATTTTATAAAAATATTTTGTCCGACTAAAAGAGCTTTTCTTAACCTAAGTTACTTTTCTCGAAAAGCTCTTCTGCAATAAGCAAAAATCCTGTCAAGCGAGTCCTATATATCTCTTTTATAGAAGACTTTCTATTTGGTAAAATGAGTAATATTTCCAGTAATCAAGGCTAATTGTCACGTTTAATCTAATTCTGTTTAATCCGACCACCTTTGGGTTTAATGTTAATTAGGTTTGATTGAGAATCTATTTTGTTGATGTTCAATGATTAATTTGTTAGCTTCCCAGAATACGGGTCTTATTGCTTTAGGGCTGGATATAATCCTATTCAATTCTGTTCTCGTTAAATTATTAGTTTGTTTGCTTTCAACTATACAAGTCTTATTGCTCTTATGGCTGGATATAGTCGTTAGAATCGAATTAGACCCAAAATTTTTGGCTATTTAGTAAGTGAAATCGTCGAGTTCAAATTTAATTATGAAATCATTCGGGTTCGGTTCCATTCGATTTAGTTCAGTTCGGTTCGGTTCGTTTCGATTTCATTAGATTTCCAGATTCCATACTATAATTAATTTTTTTAATATTTACAAAATTACATTAATTCGACTAATGGCATAATCACTATCGAACAGCCCCCAATAATAATCAAAATATACCGTGGTCCCCCCCCCCCCTCATTTTTAGAGTTTTTTAATGGAAAAATTCAATGACATTTCATTTGGCTATCTTTATTTTTTTCCCCCACGATTGTTAGGGTAAAAAAAAGTAGAACAAGTGGTGGCTTTCGATTATTTCAAACTAAACGTGATTAGGTAAAAAGATTATCCCGGCATAATTTACTCATTAAGAATTATAGTTTTCTACTAAATAATTGAGTCCGTTGGTTGCTCTGTTTTGACGCCTTAGAAACATTTGACCGGAGGTAGGATAGGTACTGGACAATACACAATAAATTAAGTTTATTTAAGTCAAATATGGCTAATAGTCCACTTAATGGAGGCTGGGTTCTTGAGTAAGAGATAAGTTGTTCTTATATCATTTCGAGGAATTATAAAAAAATGTCACTTTTTTTTTTTTATAATGCACAAAAAATTTGCATGAGCACCTAATTTTATAAAAAATATCAATTTTTTTTATTTTGTGAGAAAATATCCAATTTATCCTTCATGTCCCCTTTTTAGGAGCATTTAATGCTAGCTTTCCAATCCAATTAATGTTATGATTTAATTAGTTAAATTTAATATATTATAATCATTGGATATATTAAAATTATTAAATTTATATATTATAATCATTAGATAAATTTTGGGTCGAAATAAAAAAAAGAAAAAGAAAAAAAAGAAAAGGTAAAGGCGGTTGTCGTTACCAACGAGCTCTGCGGCAGCGACGCTGTCCAGAGTAGCAGAGCTCGTGCTCGCAACCGCTGTCTAGGCACCGGCCATTGTTGGTGCTGTAAAAGGCAATAAAAAATAAAAAATTGGGTCCAGGTTTTCAGCATATTTGGGTGATTGGAGACGGGGGTCTATTGTGCAAATTCATAATTTCCATGCCTCTAGTTGAAAATTAATATATAAGGTATTCAAATAATTCAGAGGGTAAAAAATGTCCTAAATTGACATTTTTGATAGAAAATTTAAAATGTGACATTTTTGATAATATACAGCCAAATTTTGACACCCAATAAAATTTCCTCTATCCTATCCCTATCATTAATTTGGCTCCCAGGTTGACATCAACACATTGCCAAAAAAGAAAATGTGCTACTGAACCTTTGATTATTGTCGTTCTCGAAATTAACGGGCAAGCAAATACATGTCTAAGACGAGATTGAAATTGTTTAATGTTGATCGAAGTCAGTCTTGTGATATAGGTATGTTCATATAACATTAAACTCCTGCTTTGGTTCCATTAAAATTAAATTTTAGGTAAAATGTATTTTGTTATAGTGATTTTTTGAAGTGAATGTGGTTAAAAAATATGAAAATGTTTTAAGTTTATGTTTAATCTTATTTTATTGAAAAAATTGTGATTGAAAATTGGAAAGAGAAAAATAAATTAAATTTTAATGGAGCCCAAATAGGGGCTAAATGACTATTGTAAGAATGATGTTATTAATGGTGAAGATTATCAGCGATGATCTTACGTGGCATACACATGACAATATCAAATAACAAAATGTCATATGTATATAACGTAAGATGATTATCTTTAATTTTCACTACGAATAGCACTACTCTTATGACCTGTTTGATAGGGTTGGGAATTCCATTGAAAATGGAATTTAAATTTCATTTCCTACTTTTGCCATGTTTGATGTCAATTTTTTTTTTCATGGATTTAATTTTCCACCTACCCTTGCTATTTATTTTTTATTTATTTATTTTTATTTTTTTGCAGTGGAAACAAATTTTATCTCTAATTGTAAAAAAACTATTTTCCTTTAATTGACAATTTCCATATAAAACAAAGTCAGACGAACACCAAAAGAAGATGATTTTCTTGACCTTTTTTTTTTTTTTGGAAACAAATTTTATACCCAATACCAATAAATTTTATCCCTTTAAATGACAAATTTTCAAGTAAAACAAAGTCAAACGAACATTAAAAAATGTTTATTTCAACATTTTTCACGTGAAAAATTATACAAATCAAACACAATAGTTGACAATTCCCAGTAAAACGATTTTTAGACAATTCAATTTTCTAAAATTCGTTTTCTTTCCAACCAAATTTCATCTTTGCAATCAAACAAATCCTTATTGTAGTGAGTTTTTAGAATGATTTTTACCTAGTCTAATAGCCAGTTTGGCAAGGTGTTTTAAGTCAAAAGTTGTTTATAAGATTAAGAAGATACTTTTGAATATGTTTGAACAATTTTATAAAAATATTTTGTCCGACTAAAAGAGCTTTTCCTGAACTACGTCTTTCCTCAAAAAGCTCTTCCGCAATGAGGAAAAATCCTATCAATCGGGTCCTATATATCTCTTTATATAAGACTTTCTATTTGGTAAGATGAGTAGTCTTTCCAGTAATCAAGGCTAAATGTCACGTTTAATCTAATTTTGTTTCTTGAAACCGACCACCTATGAGTTCAATGCTAATTAGGTTTGATTAAGAATCTATTTTATTGATGTTCAATGATTAGTGTTGACCCCAAAAAGTGCGCCAACAGATGCCGGTCTTACCCGCGCTTGCGTGGACGAATGTCCAACACGCTAAAACACGTGGACGGTCTAAAACGAGTGGTTCAAAGAAGCGTGGGAGTAGCCCAACGACGCGGGACGGTGACGTTTGGAATCCGACGGGTTGTTCGTAATCCGATTGTAAAATAATTACCAACCGGTGCTCGTAAATGTATATGTAAAAGTGTATAAACTCAATTTGTGTATTACAAGTAACTGAGAGAGAGTTGAGTAAATGTAGTCTTTTGTATTGATTCTTGCATTAGCCTTTGACATTACACAATGAGAGTATTTATAGTGATACATATGAAATGGGAGCCCTTGGATGAAGTGGCACGTGGTTTCATCTCTTTAGTTCAAACGTCTGTTCTTAGATATGGGACTTGACTTGCTAGCTTACGGCGCATTTATTGCTTGCACATGTCCTTTATACTAGTGACAAGACTTGACCTTTATGCTACAAACGTTCCATCAGTCATTCGAATAAGATCTCTGAGCAGGCGATCTCTTGGGAGAAGTGACAGTGGAGGAAGCTCCTTGTGGTTAAGAGGCTCGTGCATCAGTTTCGGGGCTTCGACCATTTGACACATACTTCCACCTGAGGACCTCAGCTAAATTCAACAGGTTCCATGCTTTGGGTCATGGGGCTCGGTAGTTGGACTTCGGTAGGGTACGTCGAATCGTGGAGCCTCGGTGGATGGACCTCGGCTCGAAGCAGCTCGGATGTAGCCCACCTCGGCAATGTGTGCTACATCGGCAGGAACGCCATGTGGATCAGGATGAGTGGGCCATTGGCCTAGGTGGGTAGGACAGGTGCGACAATACGCAACAATAGTCCCCTAAGTCCAAGTATAATCATTAATGTAATGCATGGACTTTAATGGAGTAAAAGTTGAAAGAATTTTTTGAACCCCAAATAATAGTCCCCCAAGTCCAAGTGTAGATATTTATATCATGGTTGGGGTTTGAGAAGTGTTGCCGTGGATGAATGATGAAGAAGCCGAGGTGGTTGAATAAACCGAACCTGCGAGGATTGTGAAGGCTGAGATGTGATGAAGCTGAGGTGGTTGAGAAAATTGAACCTGCGAGGGGAAAGCCGAGGTGGTTCAGGAACCGAACCTGCGAGGCTTTGATGCTGAATCGCGAGGAGGAAGCCGAGGTGGTTGAGGAACCGAACCTGTGAGGCTTTGATGCTGAATGGCGAGGGGGAAGCCGAGGTGGTTGAGGAACCAAACATGCAAGGTTTGCTGAGGTCTAATGGTAATGATTGTGCGTTGGTTGCTGTGCCAATGATTTGATGTTTTGTGCTTGTTTTTGAGAAAAGGTGGCTGAACCGTTACGACTTCCAAGGCGCTGCTGCCGTCGAATTAAAAATGCAATTATGAGGGCAGCTGGCGCTTCTAGAAGCAGACGCGTTGAAGAGGTGCGTGGGAGGCACGCATAAATCTGAGGCGTAGGATTTAAAAACTGTTTGAATTCAACGCCTCGGATTGGATCTAAAATGGAGGGCTTGGATTGACTGAGATTTGATCTGACGGCTGGGGTTCGTCTTGGACCTTTATAAAAGGCGAGAAAATCCCAATTTTCAGGATTTTTGAACACTTTGCACTCTGAAACTCTCTCAAATCTCCAGTTTTTCGGCGTCGAGGTTGTCTGTGATATTAAATTCCGGCCAGTCTCCGTTTGTGTCGAACTCCTTTAGGTATTGTTTGCATAAAAAACCCTTGTTACTATCTTTGTACTGACAAAATGGAGTCCACTTCGGGTAGGGAGCTTGTTACAGTGGCGTCTTTAGACTATGGGGTCGGTCATGGGGGGATGTTCCGAGGTGGATAGGTATGCCATGGCCGAGGAGGCTGTAGATTATACCCAAGAGTGGGGGGCTTCTAGAGTGCCCTCCAATATGACGGGGAAGAGGTTGGGGGAACTTAGGGAGAGGTACAGTGTCCCCCACTACATAGAGATGTTAGTCCCTGAGCCGAACGAGCGGGCCTGCTATCCAAGGCCCGGCTGCGTGGCCGTGAGTGAATACCTGTTCAAGGCAGGTATGCGTCTTCCTCTGCACCCCTTCTTTAGGGCGGTGCTTAGGAAATTCATGCTATCGCCGACCCAAGTTCTGCTGAACGGGTGGAGCCAACTGGTCGGCTCGTACTTCCTGGTGAAGGAAGTGTCACTTGGGGAGGACATGCCTCTTCACGTGTTCATGACCCTGTTCCAGCCCCGGGTAATTGGGAAGGAGTCAAGGGGGTGGTACTACCTCACGCCCTGGGGAGCTCACGCACCCTTTGTGGTGGGACTTCCTTCCTCTATCAAGGGGTGGAAGGAGTCCTGGTTCTGGGTGCGAGGTAAATGGCAGGTAGTGGAGGGTGACAAAGTCCTGTCATGCACAGTGTCGACCCAGTACTACGAAGCTCGTGAGTCTTCCGACCTCTGCTTGTCTTTTGAAGTCAGAATATGAATTCGTCTAACTGTTGGGGGTTCCTTTGCAGATAGTAGTACGAGGTTCGAGCTCAGTAGGGAGGAATTTGAGGTGATAGAGGACATTTACAAGAGGCCTCTGAAGCTTCGCCACTTCGATCACCTAATTGACAGGAGCAGATACTTTTTGGACTTCGAGCTGATGGCATCCAGAGGTATGAGGCCCCAACACTTAATCCCTTGTTTTTATCCTTATTGTTTCTTATGTTGATGCTGATCTGACATATTGTGCAGACAAATTCAAGAAGAGGGAGTACCCAGCTCTGGACATGGCCTCTATCTTGAAGGCCACTTCTACTGCGAAGGCGAGGCCCCTGAAGCTTGGGTCCAGCGGGGCAAAGAAAGTCCGAGGCAGGGTTGAGCGCCTGTCCAAGGATTGCACTCCCAGGGCTTCGGAGGAGGCAACTACTCAGAGGCCAGAGAAGCCTAAGGAGCTTCGGGGCAAGGAGAAAGTCTCTGAGGAGAATAAGAAGAGGAAGCTGGTGCACATTTCCAGCTCAGCTGGCAAGTTTGGGACCTCAGTGTCCCATAGGACTGAACAGACTGGAGAGCCAAAGCTTCTTGCTGCAGCCTCCAAAGCCATCAAAATAGAGATGGTAAGAGAGGTAGAGGCTAAAGAGGCTAGGGAAAAGGCCGCAAGGCGAGCAGCAGAAGCCGCCGAAGAGGAGGCAGCAAAGGAGAAGCCTGTTCGGGAGAAGGGGAAGTCTCCAAAATTCCTAGCTGGGAGGGAGGAGGAGTTGGCCCCAGCCTTGGTGGAGGCTCTCCTGAGGAAATCAGAAGTGCCACCGAGAGCTTTTACAAGTTCTGGAAAGAGAGGTAGCAGCTGCATGCCTTGTCTTGTGATGCCACCGACTTGACACGGGCACTGGTGAGCCAAAGCGCCCGGACCTTTGGCCTCGCGCTCGAATGCAGGGAGGCCTTGAGCGAATTCCAGACAAGGACCCACGCCTCGGAGGGGAAGGCTGCCTCCCTTGCAGAGGAGGTTAAAGCTGCTAAGGCCGAAGCTGAAGAGGCCAAAGCCCAGAGAGTTGAAGAGGCGGCGAAGCTTGAGTCTGCTTTGGCCCAAGTTGAGGCCCTAAAGAAGGAAGTATATGAGTCACAGTGCGAGGTGGCCTCCTTGACAAAGAAGGTGGAGGTCTCCAATGAGCACCAAAAGGTGACTGCTGAGACTCTTGAGAAGATGAATCTCTCCTTGGTCGGTGCTCCAGATGCCTATCAGTTTCTCGAAGGCCAGGCGAAGTGGTACATGAACGACGCCTCGGTTGCCAGAGAAGAGGCTCGAACTGCAAGGGAAGAGGCGGTGAAGGAATACATCGCCAATTTCCACACTACAGAGGAGTATAAAAGCTTCAGCTCGTACTGGAGGAACTTCGCCTATATCGAAGTGCTAGAGAGGGCAGAGGAGCTGTATCCCAATTTGGACCTAGCTCAACTTAGGTCCGAATTTGTGGATGAGGTACCTCAGACCCCAGCTGAGGAGGTCCAGGGTGATGAAGAAGTTGATGCCGAAGCCCCAAGTGCCGAGGCAGAGAAAACAACTACTGATGCCCAAGTTGCCGAAGCCCCTAGTGCCGAGGCACCTCCGTCATCTAGCCAGGCATATACTAGGTTTTATTTTTCAGTAATTTTGGATGTAATGGCCAGAGGCCCTCTTTTGTAACCTTTGAAATATCAATATAATATCTTTCTTCTTTCATTGTTGCTTTTTGTCAATGTTTTTATACCTCGTTAAACAAATTTACTGGAACTTGATGGAAACTTTGTGAACTTCGGACAGAAATAAATGAACGTAACTTGAGTGATTGAACTGTACGAACCTCGGACTTAAGCAAAATAACATGACTTAAGGAGTTGAACCGTGTGAGCCTCGGACTTAAGCACATTATCATAACATAAGGAGATGAACAGTGCGAACCTCGGAGTTAAGCACATTAATATGACTTAAGGAAATGAACTGTGTGAACCTCGGACTGAAGCACATTAACATAACTTAAGGAGATGAACAGTGCGAACCTTGGACTTAAGCACATTAATATGACTTAAGGAGATGAACAGTGTGAACCTCGGACTTAAGCACATTAATATGACTTAAGGAGATGAACAGTGTGAGCCCCGGACTGTAGTGGTTGTGGCTTCTCCCCTTGGCGTTCAGCAAGGCCAAGGGGAGGCATGTGCTAGCGCCTCGGAATTCAAGCGAGATAGTCCAGAGATGGGTCCCAAGCCTCTCCTCCGAGGTGACGACGCATCCCAGACATGGTGGATGGTGCAGCCATGTTGAGGCTTCTCTCCTTGGCCAAGGGGAGGCATGTGCTAGAGCCTCAGAGTTCAAGCGCGGCGGCCCAGAGGTGGGTCCCGAGCCTCTCCTCCGAGGTGACGACGCATCCCAGACATGGTTGATGGTGCAGCCATGTTGAGGCTTCTCTCCTTGGCCAAGGGGAAGCATGTGCTAGAGCCTCGGAGTTCAAGCGAGGTGGTCCAGAGGTGGGTCCCGAGCCTCTCCTCCGAGGTGACGACGCATCCCAGACATGGTGGATGGTGCAGCCATGTTGAGGCTTCTCTCCTTGGCGTTCAGCAAGGCCAGGGGGAGGCATGTGCTAGCGCCTCAGAGTTCAAGCGAGGTGGCCCAGAGGTGGGTCCCGAGCCTCTCCTCCGAGGTGACGACGCATCCCAGACATGGTGGATGGTGCAGCCATGTTGAGGCTTCTCTCCTTGGCGTTCAGCAAGGCCAAGGGGAGGTATGTGCTAGCGCCTCGGAGTTCAAGCGAGGTGGCCCAGAGGTGGGTCCCGAGCCTCTCCTCCGAGGTGACGACGCATCCCAGACATGGTGGATGGTGCAGCCATGTTGAGGCTTCTC